AGTCTTCCCCCCCGGCTTTTTTTTTTTTTTTTTTACCAGAAGAAATTTCTTTTGGTAGAAATGAACATCTGTGCAGCCTAAATTAAAGGCTCTTGCTACTTCTGAAGTATGTGCCTTTGTTGGGCTGTGTGAGTGCTAGCTAATATAGTGTACAGTGTGTAGTATCCTTTTTTGTTCTGTGCTTCATTTTTCCATTTGACCTGGAGCACTTGCCACAATTCACCTTGGGATATACATGTTGTGGCTCTTGGTTAACACAGACTGCTCACATGGGTCTTATTAGTCAGGGCTGAATGTCACTGACCTAGAATATATGTGGGGCTTAATAATTGGCTAACATGCTTGTAAAGGACTTATCTGTGCTTGCTGATAAGTCATCTTAAATGTATTAGCTGATGTGTACTCAAACTTTTCAAATGCAATGTATGTTTTCAGTATAGATTTGGCAGTAGAAAATGATCGGTGAAGTTGCTGTTGGAATGTGTGTCACATTTAAGGTTTTTGCTTTAGTATGACTTTTCCTTCAGAGAATCAGTCAGTTTTAGTAAACATTTGAAAATTATTTGAGCTCTTAGTTTGTATTTCCTTTCCCATTACTGTTCATTAAATAGTATGCACATGAATTGGCACTCGCTTTTAAATTCTTTAGGGCAATGGTGCTCAACCTCTTGGCCCTGTGGACCAGATGAATGGCATAGGAGTCCATCTGGGGGCTGGCATAACCCTTGTGTGTCCCCCCTCCTCCCCTATGTTTGCCATCTGCATAGGGAATAGGGCCCCAGGGCTCAGCATACAGGTATCAGGGTTCTCCATGACTGGAGATTTGGCAGTAGAGAAGTGGTACCACCACTCTTCAGCTACCAAATCTCTGGACCAGTGGGGAGCCCCATGGACTGGATGACATGGCTGTGGGCCAAAGTGGCCAGTACTGAGGCTGGCAAGGCTTGCCCCAAACTGGATTGCATGCCTTACTGAATTCAGAGTGAAGTTCAAATGTGATTGTAGACACAAGTTGAATGTACTGAGAATCAAAAGTAGCTTTTCGTTCCTGAGGACTTGCCATGTTTGTATTAAATGCAGAACTGTTACATTCATGAATGTCATTTTGCAAACAAAATTGCAGCAGTATTGAACAAATCTGCTTAAGACCAGGAAGATGAGACATGTAATTTGCAACTATCTTGGCTCTGCAAGAAGGTTTACAGAACTAGTATTCAAAAGTGACTGAGACTTTAGCTAAATTTAATAAATCACCAGAGTGACAATGATTCTCATTAAGTGTTCCAGAATTGCACTTCCTGTATTAATACAGGGGTCTGCAGCATATGGCCTGCAGAGCTAGAAGGTTTTACCTGTGTCCATGCCAGAGGAGCTGCATGTCTGGGGCCCAGCAGTGAGGCTCTATGTCAGGGCTGGGCAAAATATGGCCCGGGGACTGGATGTGGCCCGCCAGGCTGTTTTATCTGGCCTGCGGGGCCTTCCCAAAATTAAGAAAATTAATATTTATCTGCCCCTGGCTGCCTGTCATGTGGCCCTCAATGGCTTGCCAAAACTTGGTAAGCGGCCCTCTGCCTGAAATAATTGCCCACCCCTGCTCCGTGTTGAGCCTGGCAGCTGGTGTGTGGGGTGTGGAGAAAAGCAATAGTAGTACCATAGACAACTGGTAGGAGGTGCACGTGCCCCCTCTGAAGGGGCCGGTGCG